TATTTTTGTAACAGATAATAAAATAAACACGCCCCTGAAGATGCTAAAAAGATTAGCGAAACGTTGGGCCGTAAGTGAAATAACGTCGTTTTATTTACACTAAAAGAACAGATCAGACAAGCCGATCACAAACTTCTTAAATCTCTTTCGTCAGGTATTGTGATACAATTAGCTAATGACCGAAGTTGAACTCGACTTTCCAAAGAGGTGGCAACCCTCCTCATATAAACTTTTCAAATCCTTTTCAATTGAAACCCATCTTTTAATAATTCATTTAACTTATTAAATAATTTGAGGTTTATTTAATTTGTTGGCAACTGGCAACCCTTTTCAAAAAAATAAAACCTGACTGCACAGCTACAGGCCAAGGCCCTTAATTTGATACCTAATCTTTTAAAGTCGAACGGCCTCTCTCTTCTTAATGCGGCAAATACGTCTCGCTTCCCTCTTCAGTTCCCTGTAACGGTCCCATATGGCTCGTGTTGAGCCCAATCGCAGCGTGGCCCTGTTGGTGGCATCTTATTAATTAACCCATAACAAGGCACAAACCAACTCGGCTTAGCTGAAATAATTTAGTAATTTTTATACCTTTCATGAGCATGAAATGGTATTATAACTTTGGTCCGATGTTTGTAAGTACCAGAATAAGAAGAGATAGACCCATTAAAATGTATACTTAAATGATCAGAACGGCGAGCTGAGTCGATTTAGCCATGTCCGTCTGTCCGTCTGTCTGTCTGTCCGTCTGTTTGTATGCAATCTAGTCTCTCAGTTTTCGAGATATCCGGATCAAATTTGGTAGGTGAGTATTTTTATAATGTATTAATCATTTGTCGGAACCGGCAGCATCGGGCCACTATAACATATAGCTCCCATACAACTGATTGTTCAGATATGAGATTTTTCGTTATAACTTCTCCATTTATGCAGCTGGGAACATGGCATTCCGCAATATTACCATCCATTATCAAAAACATGCTTACAGTGAAAATGGCGAAGATCGGGTCGCTATAACCTATAG